TTGCTAAGCAGCACTGTTTTCTTTGCCGATATAATGGAAGAGAGTTTTGGGAACACTAATGTAATGGACCATATACGACTGTCTGAGAGCTAAAACTGTAAACTGTCTTGAACAGGATTGCCTTTGATTGATGGCTATATTTCTGAATTGATTCTTCTAATGTAGCATTTGGGGCACATAAGTATATATTAACAACACATAACCATCAATATTGGACTCAGATAAGCTTAGATTTATGTGTTACGAACAAAGAAGTTTAGGCACATCATGCTTTGTTTTCACAGGAAATTAATAATGACTTTCGGGGTATTTAACTAAGTAGAAGCAGGATTCAAATGGACCAAGAAATCAAGCAAGCTCCAATTTTTGCCTTAGATACACTGATAACTCTGATCAAAAGGAGGCAATGGAGATGAAATACCTTGTTGGCAGAGTATATATGAACACACATCTGTACACACTTCCCTAAATCACATATTCCCAAAAGATAACTGGAATTTTAATCAAGAAAATAGATGTTCATGCATCAGATTCTTTTTTTTATTTGATTGATTTTTTTTAATTAGTTCAAATTAGGAACAAGCTTGCTTCACATGTCAATCCCTTCTCCCTCTCCCTCCCCTTCCCCCTAACACTCCCTTACCCCATCCCTCCTCCAATCCCCAGGCAGGGTAGGGCCCTCCACAGGGGCTCCCCAAAGTCCACCACATCATGCTGGACTGGGCCTAGGACCTCCCTCATGTGTCCAGACCAAGAGAGCATCCCTTCACATGGGATGGGCTCCCAAAGTCCCTTCTTACACGAGGGAAAAATACTAATCCACTACCAGGGGCCACATAGAGTTCAGAGGCCTCATCATTAACATCCATGTTCAGGGGTCTGGATCAGTCCCGTGCTGGCCTCCCAGACAGCAGTTTGGGGTCGATGTGCTCCCCCTTGTTCAGGTCAGCTGTTTCTGTGAGTCTCACCAGCCTGGTACTGCCCCTTTGATCTTCATTCCTCCCTCTCGGCAACTGGGTTCCAGAGTTCAGTTCAGTGTATATCTGTGGGGGTCTGCCTCTGCTTCCATCAACCACTGGATGAGGGCTCTAGGATGGCATATAAAGTAGTAACCAGTCTCATTATAGGGGAAAGGCTAGGGTATCCTCTCCACCATTGTCTAGATTGTCAATTCCGGTCATCCTTGTAGATCTCTGGAAATCTCCCTAGTGCCAGATCTCTCCTCGGACCTATAATGGCTCCCTCTGATATGGTATCTCTCATCCTATTCTCTATTTTTCCCCCAAATCAGCATTTCTGCTCCTCCATTTCCTCTTCTCCCCTCCTCTTCTTCTCCTCTCATTCTGCCAGTTCCTTCTCCCCTACCCTCATGCTCCCAATTAGCTCAGGAGATCCTGCCCCTTCCCATTCTCTGGGGTCCATGTATGTTTCTCTTAGAGTCCTTGTTTCCTAGTTTCTTTGGTGAAGAGGATTGTAGGCTGGTAATCCTTTGCTCTATGTCTAAAATTCATATATGAGTGAGTACATACCATGTTTGTCTTTTTGTGACTGGGTTACCTCACTCAGGATAGTTTCTTCTAGTTCTTTCCACTTGCCTGTGAATTTCAAGATTCCATTGCTTTTTTTCTGCTGAGTAGTACTCCATTGTATAAATGTGCCACATTTTCTCTATCCATTCTTCAGTTGAGGGGCATCTAGGTTGCTTCCAGGTTCTGGCTATTACAAAAAAAATGCTGCTATGAACATGGTTGAACATATGTCCTTGTGGTATGAACATGCCTTATTTGGGTATATACCCAAGAGAGGAATTGCTGGATCTTGAGGTAGACTAATACCCATGTTTCTGAGCAAACACCATACTGATTTCCAAAGTGGTCTTACAAGTTTGCACTCCCA